ACTCATGTCCCAAAGATGGATGCTCCTGCTATTTGTTATGTTGAAAAGCGAGGGAGTCAGTTACGCGTTTTACTTGTTTATTGATGTGTTTGGACAGCTTGGTGTTGATCACTTCATTGGGGTCATGCTATTAAACACATCGCCAAAGAGTAGTATACAAAACTGAGCTCAAACAAGCCCCCGGTTATTGTTAACCGTATGAATACACATGGCCCACACCAGTTAGTTATCGAGACTAATTTTCGTTGCTAACATTGCAGAGGTATTTATTCACTCCATCAATTAATAAGCATTAGAGAGCTGAATTGTTTTAGCACCAGTTTTCATCGAGACGAAATGAAATGAGTTGGCAATCGTGGGTCTTGAACCAAGGAGTAGAAGAGTACGGATGTCAGTGATAAACAAATTTTCCATTGAAAGTGTTCGTAAGAGCTTGTGTATTACTGGCAAGGCCTTTAACGATTGTTATCCGACTACTTGAGGGTGACTAATTCCCGACGCTTTGCTCCAGGAAATATTCGTTGAGGATAATACATAGTGGACTAGTTTTTAGCATCTCACCAAATTCTTTCAATCAGTTGGTTGCAAATTTTGAAATTTCAAAGTGTCATTTGAATATGGAAATATATCTGTATATTCAGTTTAACTGACATAATTCTGTTTTCTTTTAGACAAAATTCGGGTCTACCAAACTCAAAAAAGTCCACTGTTTCTCAATCGTATTGGACCTTAGAACTCTGTGTTACTTGAAGTAATTAGTAGCCACTCAAACGAAAAAGCCCATCAATGAACACTATCTTAACAATATCAGACGGACAAGTCCAATATCAAAACGATGGATTAAACGAGAGGCATAAAAGCAGCTGATCTGCTCTCCATGCATTCTCAAACATTAATGGAATTTCGACAGAAGGACCAAACAAACTCTATCTGTTACTGTCGTTGTTGCCCCTAGGTTATTATTCGTTTGCAGAGTGCACATTTACCAAAACACGCCCATTCATTGGAAATAATGTAGAATGAGTGTAGCTCGGGATGCAGATGTTGGTTTTGGTGCGTTATCCGAGCTGCAAGTGTTGTTCGCGGACGTATCGTCGCCAGGCTAGGCAACATCATCAATGCAACTTCGGGAAGAATGCTTCGTACAGAGGTTTTCAATTGATTAATTCTTTGATGATTCCTTTTAATGCACCTTTAATCATAAAATAATTACAAAACATCAGACGTGGTCCTCGAATACGCCTATTCAAAACTCCGGGCATAGACAAACCTTACTTCTAATTTCCTGCAGGATATATTTCTTCCACAATATATCTATCATCTTCAATAGTTTGTATACAAATGATAAGATTTTACTAAGTAATTTCACACTGATTGTTGGGGTTGTGCACTATAATGCATTTTCCGAATGGGGTTCGCGGATGCACAGTTTTGCGACTTATAAATCCTGGTGGATGAATCGCATTCTGAGTATATCAGAACCAACGTTTATTCGCCTTCTAATATCTTTGCTCTAGACCGCCATCAGCGAGTGGTCCCCAAGATAACGTTTTGTATTTTGTGAATACAATATTTCTTTGTTGTTGTTTAGTTACTTTAATCTGACAGCATTTCACACTAGAGGATATAGCAAGACTTGACTACTAGACACAGTGAGCTTGCAATAATTGTCTGGAACAAGTTGACGGTTGATCATTTCCAGGTAAGTTGAAAACAAAACCTATTCACTTTTGCTGTAATCTACGACGCTGATTATTAGATCATATATTATTACTTCAAATAGGACCGGGTGTTAAATGTATTTAAATGCGATGGAAATCCAAACATTCATGGTCCAAATTGACTCGGATGTGTTTAGCCCTACGACGGTAAACTTGTTAGCTAAATTATTCTACCAGACAACCTGGAGTTTGAAGTAAAGCATGGGTTAGATTTATGAAAAGTTTTTTAAGCGCATTTCTAGCTGGTTGTTCTGTGATTCAAAGTGTTTGGGGGTTGGTTGGAACATACCATTTCTTCATTTGTTCTTCATTGAAAGCCTCTGTTTACATAAGGTTGTTCCTGACTTTTTTCTCTGACAGCCTACAGGACTCATTCAAATGTCTCAGTTAAATTACATTTAGGAACAGTGTGGTTTTGTCTGGCTTTTTAATCGTTTTATAGAGTTCTTTTTCCTTTTCAGTTTCCTTTTTCAATATATCGCATTCTGGAATCACATTTTTGATGTCTTCGTGAATCTCTCTTCAAATCTGTCTAAAATGTCGTAGGCCTCAGAAACACAGTCTGGATCACAAAACTTATAAAGGAATTGAATGCGTTTTAACCCCTTAAAGCTCCAAACTCTCGGACTGCTGCAATAAATTTTACTCTGATTCCCTTCTCAAATTACTTTTGGGAAAGTATCTCGAAGTGCCTCTGTAAACTAATCTCAGGCAGGCTGTTGTTTTGGTAAATTGTGCCAACTATCGTTTCAGCTTAACAACCTCCAAAATTTTGCTTTTATGTAGTCAGATACTTTCACATTTCGCAACAGATTATTTACCGCGATTTACTCCCAAAACACATGATTTAGCATTGTGGTCTTACGATATTAAGTTGCGAATCGGTCATTCTCCTTATTGAATCACTAACTGATTTATGCGGCTAATAAATGGCTTCACGTGAAATGTTCGAAAGGATCTCTCATGGGCGTTGCGTGCTGATATTCCTAATATCGTTCCCATATCACCCATATCACGTACTAGTAATAAGTTGATATATCAAAACTCGATTAGAGAAACTCTCTGAAATTTAGACCACCAATCATTATCTATTAGTTTCTTTGTTTCAGTTTTCTTAGTCAAGCATAGCTATTTTGCTTATCAGTAAATCAATTTCCGAAATGCTGCATTAGATGTGAAGAACAAGTTTAGACTTTTCTATGGACTGAAAAAGCGAAGAGGTAAACTTTCAAGTACTTGTTCTCCTATTCGTATTCACCTCCTAATCCTGATATTTCAATAGAAACTCTGAAGTTGACTGAGTTTGGTGCGTAGCCCCATTGTTTACTTCATACATATTTATCTAAAATTATGATTGCATGTCGGTGTGCAATTTTGTATTCTATGTGGACCATGACGTACTCGGTTTATCCACCTTCCGGTTCAATCGTTGCATAGATGACGTGGTCATATGAATAAGGGCATCCAAAGCAGAATTGCTTCCATAAGGACTACGTGATCCTTTCCCGGTGCACTCATCTCCAGAGCCTTGACTGGATTCCTCCAATCCTCGACACATCAGGTCGACACTGTCCACACGCAAGCCGTACACAGGGCCGGAGGTTCGCTCTGAGGTGGTGGCAACATATGAACGCCCAGTGTCGTTTGAGTTCAGTGTGGACAGGGAAGATGTAGACAACTCCGATCGACTAGCACCGGCCGCGATGGCGTTCGTCGTTGAGGTTTCATTGGGTTGACTGATGTTTGAAGTAGGATTCGGCGAGTGGCGCGAGTTGCGATGGCGAGCGGAATAATCACCAGAGTTAGAGATCCTTCTAACTGGATGAAAGGCTCCAGGGCGTGTAGAAGGTAGAAGGGGCCAAGGAAATTTATCGTTTGTATCTGCCGGAGAACGGTTTTCACTTTGTGTTATCAAGCTGGTCTGTTTGTAGAGCATCTCCAGCAAAGGTTGTGTCTTCCACACACCGTCTTTCGCCTGTGCCGTTAATGTTTTTTCAGATCTGTTTGGAGTACATGAATTCCATGAGAGTGGAAAGGCACCACTTGCCAGGACAGTCGGATATTGTGCCAAGTAATGGTGCAATGTTAGCCACACAGAGGCATTTGTCAAAGGGTTATTATCCATGGTAATGGGACTGATAGATAAGGATTCTTGATTTGTAGTGTAATCTGTGGCAGACCCCGGTGCAGGTGATTGTGTCTCCCGAGAGAGAATATCAGTGATCAAAAACGAAGGCATTGTTTTTGTGATGTGCGTGGAATGAAATCTGTTGATGATAATGAACTCTTAATTTGTTCTGAGGTTATTCTGATATGTCGAGACGTGAATGCATGAAGTAGATGTGTGCTAAACGGTTAGAGGGGCAATTGATCTCATCGTCCGCGGGGGATAGATATCATAAAATCAGAGCGCAAGTCGGCACTCAGTAGCGCGCGGGCACACGTAATGCCGAGATTAAAATTGGCACTGGGAACCAATCGCCTCTCAACATGTGTAGCCCAGGTGCCGGAACGAGGTGACCAGGGATTGGTAGATTTGGCGTATGCACGAGGTGAAGGTCCGAAATTCCTACCCGTGTCTTTTTCTCGACCCCTTGACTTGCGTGTTGGGCGACGCACATGCAGGCAAGCATGGATGTACGTGCATTATGCGCGGGTACGCCTGTGTGTGTATATGTGTGTGCTCGTCCGAATGCGTGCGTGCGTATGTGCATGTGCATGCAGGTAACATGGAAGCCAATCGTTCCCATGTCCGACGACAAAACAGCGCACAAGATCGTATATCTCAAGGAACAATTTGTCATAGTTAGTGTGAACCATGGCCTGTTTATGTGCTGTTACTGCTTTTGTTCACACCCGTGTCGCTATGCTATACAGCGACGCCTGTTGCACAATAATTATTTATGATTACCGAGTCCCATAAACTGTATTGCCCTAAACGGTTGTTTGCAGCTCAGTTCAGGTGTGCACGTTTGTAGATTTTCGCGGTTTCTCTCTCTCTGCTTGTCCCACGTTGTTAGAGCGACTTTTTTGTGCAACCACGGTGGAAAAGTTCCAGGACTTGTTTACCGAGACCAATAACATACAGAATTACGCATCCACTTATACGCGATATGCGAGTTTATCCAGATAAGTTTGTCGTTGTCTTGTTGTGCCTCAGTATTTTTCAGCACCGAGATTTTCTGTTGGGATGAAATTCCATTTCATTGTTATAGCTCGAGAAAAACAATGCAAGATGAATAAACGACAGTCCGGGTGCGATTTTCTAAACACAGTTTCCATCTGTTATTCCCCATAGACAAAATCATCTATGGATAATCTGATTGAATTTGATCAGTTTAGGAGTAGTCAGATGAAACTTGCGTTCGTGTACGATCCCAGGTTCGATTCACAGTGAAGTAGACAAATCCGTACTACTGAAGTAGATGAACGACGTTTCCCAGCTTTTCAGTCCATCTTCCCTTTACTTGGCATAAGACGATTTACAATGACCAACACAGTTTAGTTCCAGCATCGACTAAGGTTTAATTTAGATGCAGTCAATAACAACATTTTTTTATTATGAACACTGAGTTCAAGTGAACGATCTGATATGACGGCTATGGATAATAAATACCTTCACTTTTTATTTCACCTGAGTGGCGATAAATTTGCCGAGAGTCCCGACAATCTGTGACAACCTGTTATGTTCTGAGGTTTAAGGATTGAGGTAGTGAAACAAAGCCATTCTTCAACTGGGGCTCTCAAATGGAAAACTGGTTACGTGTATTTTCGTGAATTGTTTAAAGAATGTTCGGCGGATCTTTGTTTTTGCAGACTGTTTCCATGGCCTTATCATCAGGCTGTCGTCCAGCAAGCCCGATGAATTCTCCCCACTTATTGTGAAAATATTAGTTCATTGTGCTCTCAGTCATCACCTTGTCCTACCTCTGTACAATCACTCTTTTACTACAGACTGACCGTTGATGCCCTGTTGTGGTCGATTAATTTTATCGCAAAATATCTCGTCAAATTTGCGCGATCTATCTGTTCCTTTCTCGACAATACCCCAGCTTTTGATGCCGCATCCCTTTGAACACTGGAAGCATTCAACTGACCTGGGCAACTCCTTGTCTGCCTGTCTAACTATTTTTCTAATACCACGCATTTAATTCAGACTGGGCAGAAACTTAACCTTCCTTAACCTCTTCTGATAAAATCTCAAGCATTCTAGGGCTAATGTTGTCCTTTTCTATATTTTCCACCTCTATAATTGACCTCCTACCAGCTGTATTTAGATACATGTGCGATGTTTTCGTTGATCATGTCATTTATTATTCATGTGACTACTAAACAATCAGCAACAACCGATACAAAATAAAGAGTTTCTTGGACCAAACTATGGTTTATAACCGAAACCCTCAAAAGGCCAAGAACATATTTTCGATCTTTTCGTTTTCTGTTTCCAGTTTGTTTTGTCCTATTGAGTTACAAATTTCAATGCAGACTTTGTGTGTGGGTGTTTACTTAAAAACTAAATTTAGATGGACGTCTCACATTCAGTGTTTTACCATTTTTTAATGAACTGTAACCCCGAAATTCAGGGAGAATTTCCATACTAAGACAAATGCATCTTTAGTCGGATCAAGTTATATATTGGACAAATAAGTATATAACCGGGTGAATCAATGCTACAGTGACCGAGAAGATGTTGTTACCACTTATATTTCGGATGCTCGAACCCACTTGTTCGTTCTCATAGTATGTTTCAATAACGATCAAAATAAAATGAAGGTAAAAGGATAATTTTCCTTGTTGAAATTACCTGTCCGAGTCGGGTAATTAGTCTTAATCTCACCGGTGTTTTTGGTACGTGTATTTGTGTCACTGGTTGTGTTTCAAACAGTGGCTAAATGCATAAGCTCGCTGCATATAAAAATAAATCGTTGAGTATTTTTTGCTGCAGATTGGGATCACAGCACATCATTTCATTCAAGTTGTCGTTCTTCTCCCCTGTCTTCACCGAGGTTCTCTTACAGGCACGTTGATCTTGCGGGGCCACTTCATCCTTGATGAACAAATAAAATGTTTCAAACCAATTTATTGAAATAGTAATCCGTTCAGTTTTTACTCTTTGACCATGCCCATTCAACCCTATCCTCACTCAAAAGAACGAGCGCATCTTTTGCTGAGTTAATTGTTACACCCGTTCTCGGAGACAACAGCAATCTGTTTACCAATTTCGGTGGCTGAGAGCAGCGGAACCAGTTGTTGATTAATTGCTTTCGGAACCACGTTCTCTCATACTGCCGTTTCACCGTAGAGTATGGACACCTGGTAACTATTGGTTAAGGTAGGGTATTTGATTTACCAGCATGGTTGTTCGTATCTGAGGTTTGTCACTAGGTCTTGACCTATGCCCTAAGCGTTACTTATTCTTGTGTTGAATTAGCCACTCTCACCTAGCGGATGAAGAATAGTTGTTAGTTGAAGGGACAAAATCCATTAAGCGAATGCTCGATCAGGACGGCAACGTTTACGTGATGAAAGCAAGTCATATTGACCATGGTAAAGTTACTACCTTACTACGAAAGTCTACAAAGATTAACTTCAAGTTTGTTGATTTGACCCATCTCGTCATTCTCAAACTTTCTCAAGATGGAGGCTGTTGAACAAAATTAATATGAATACACATGCTGAGAAAATGCACAATGTATACCTGAAAATATCGAGGGAACGAGATAAACTTTCTATGCTGCCCTGATCAACCACAACAGATGTGGTCAATGTTATTTGTGTTCGGCATGCCTTAAACCTGCATTTAGGTCGCCATAAGAGACTCTCACTAAAAATGACTTTAATGGTTTTGGTGTGTTTTCTTAGATTGATGAGTAAAGCATTTGCTAAAAGACAGTGTCTTCCAATGATTCGATTACACCGATTTCTAAAAGATGAACATGGAAATTAATGACAGTAACTATTATTTTTCAGTAAGCTATCTAGCCTGAAAAACCCATCGGATTTTACTTGTGAATATATTAAGAAGAGCATGTGTTTTTAATTAAAAAATGTAATGTTTAGTCGCATAAAATATTTGCTCACCGTTTCTCACATTGTCCTGTGTTTAATATGGAATCTAACATGGCTTTGGATTTGTTAACCAACTGATCACGTCGTCTCTAATATCCGGCACTCTGATGCGGTAAATCTGTTGGTAATTGGCACGATTGGGTTACATTTTTTGTTCCATGTGACATGGGACATGTTAAATCGAAATAAAACAACGGTCCCATTGAAGTGTGTATAATTGTTTTGCTCTTCCGATTTAATGATGCTTCTTTTGACGGAAATTCGATAAAAAGGTTAATAGAAGAAGCGTGACTGTTTCCACTTGATCACTGTAACGAACAGTATATTGTATTTTTTTCTCACTCATCACACCTATTTCGCCAATCCGATTTGCTATTTTTGCACAAGAAATTCAATTTTTGTTTTACTGCACACATTTTCTGGATGGACCCCTACCCCAAGGGACAGAGATCTAATGTTCCACAATGTCCATTTTTGCCTTAACTTGAGAAATCTCTTGTTGTAATCCAAATGAGATGGACGTGGTAATAATCCGGATGGATTTACAGCCAAATTCGATAAATTGGCTGTGTTTAAAGAAAGCGTCGCCATACACGCAAGCTAACGACACGCGATAGCTGCCTACGATCTTTCATTGCAGTCCCCGATGAGCTATACGGATTCGTATTCGAACAAAATAGGTGTACTCTGGGTGCGATTGCTTTGGTTTTCCAGTTGATTTCTGAATACGTATTCCTCGGAATTGCTCTTCTGAGTGTTACTGAGTGTATGGAGCTTTACATGTTCAAAAACGAGAATCATTTCGTTGCCCCTCATCATTGCGAAAATCCTATTTTTCCCATCTAACTCAGCGTGCTAATGATATCACAAAGTTAAAAGAATCAACATTAGATAACTCGTTTGTATTATCCCTTTGCCTTTTTAAAGCCATGGACTAAATATTTAGTTGATAATACTCTGGACATCTTCATTTATTATGCCAATAATCTGGTTCTCTGTCAGGCTCTCCAATAAACGCGACATTACCTTGTTTTGCCAGATGCTTGGATATCCTCAGATGGGTCTGGTCAGCATCGCAACATATTCAAGTATTGTTATTTCAGTGTATCCAACTTGTTCACTCTACTTTTACCTGGTTACCCTTTCAGGTTTGCTGAGGAAAGATAACCA